AACCCTTTTGCCCCGACCGTAGTCCCTGTGAGCCTCTTTCTCGCGCCGGCGCTTCTCTCGTTCGTGTTTAGGCACGAGACTCGTCCGCGCTTGGACGACGCGGGTACCGTTGTCGGCCTCCATAGCGACGAATTGGCGGGGATATCAGATGCAAAAATAGACTATGATCGGGTCGATCGATTCCGCGACTATGGTTATCATGAGTGACCGTTGCAGTTGTAAAAAATAAAATCAAGAGCAACAGCGTTCATGGCGCAAATGCTCAAGTAGAATTGAGAACGACCTTCGCCCAGAAATTTTAGTGGGGCTGCAGGGGTCCCGGATAGTTGGTTAACATCGATAAGAGACGATAACACACAGTATGCACTTATAGTGCATTAGTGGCATACAAAGTACAGATCGGTACTGTATACATTAGGTAATACGGAGAATTGCCCACGCCCCTGCTTGCCCAGTGTACGGATACGGGCACATACCCGACCACACTGTGCCGATCTGCCCTGCCCACAGTCACACAAAAAACTATGCCCCTCCGTCGCTAATCGACGTGATCTTCGGGCCCCTCCAACTTTTACCGGTCGAATAAATACTTTACTATTTACTACATCTCCCAGGTCAAGAATCCACTGCGTATGGCCATCGCCGTTGTTGCTTCTCACTATTCTGACCGGTAGAGATTCTTCCGCCTCGACATCTTCAACCTGGCTTCGCTACCCTTCAGATTTAAAGCTGGTGGTGACGGCAACATGTCTTCGGCCGTGCACTCTCACCGGCCAACTACCAAAGTTGCGCATAAGGCTTTCAAGTCCAAGAAGGCTACGAAAGGCTCGCTGCGGGATCAAGCCAAAGGTAGCCTCGAATACATGACCGACCCTCACACTTGGCTCGTTTTGTGCGCTCCCTCTAACTCGGGAAGTAGGCAAGGTTCCCAACGAAAGGCGAAAGACACCTCACCAACAAGTCATGTCTAAAATCGGTCGACGAAACCAGGCCAAGCAGCGCCAGCTTACCAAGTACAAGGAACACCAGAAGGAGACTTCGATATTCATGGGTCGGGATGGCGCTCCGAGAATTGTCGCCGTTGTCCCCCTGTGTGCGGATGGCGATGCCGTCGCCGCTATTAGGAGTCTCAATGGCAGTCTCGACATTGAATGCGATCTCTCTGCCTCTACGATCCGAGTCTCTGTCGACCGTTTCAAGCAGAAACTGCAATACGTACCAGTCAAGAGGGACTTGTCGATCTGCATGGATGCTGCACGAGTGGCTGATTATGTTCTCTTCATCCTGTCTGCCGAGGCTGAAGTTGACCCCTTGGGAGAGCTGATCATCCGAAGCATCGAGAATCAGGGCATGTCGACTCTTCTCACAGTGGTCCAGAACCTCGACAACGTTGAACCTGCGAAGGCACGACCGGATGTCGTCAAATCCTTGGCCTCGTTCATGACTCACTTCCACCCGGGACAGGACAAGATATACAGTCTTGATTCCAGACAAGAATGTTCAAACTTGATGAGGTCTCTCTGCAACACCAAACCAAAAGGAATTAATTGGAGAGACCAGAGGTCTTGGATGCTAGTGGATGACGTGCGGTGGCCATCCACCGAATCAGAATCTACTGTGCTGACGGGAGTCGTTCGCGGAAAAAGCCTAAAGGCCGATCGGCTAGTCCATGTAGGCGAATGGGGCACATTCCAAATCGAAAAGATTACGGAAGCTCCAATTTCAAGTAAGAGACGGAAAGATGATGGTATGGCTGTTGATGATGCGGATGGAGAAAAGGTGATAGAGACCCCAGGTGAAGATCAAGATGATCTTGCCGAGCTGGCTCCCGAAGAGGCAGCTATGCACGACATCGATGATGGAGATGAAATGATGGCATCCCAGCCGCCCACGACGAAAAAGGGTGTATTGCTGGACGACCACCATTACTTCTCAGAGGAGGAACACGAGAAATATCAGCCTCCTAGGAAGCTACCTAAAGGAACATCTTCATATCAAGCAAAATGGATATTGGATGATGTCTCCGATTCCGAATCAGAATTTGATGATGAGATGCAGGATATACAAGATGAAGCCATGCCAGCCCGGCCGGAAGATGGCATAGAAGGTCTCGCTGGCCGCGAGCCTACAGAGGCTGCCATGTCCGAGTATCCCCAATCCGAAGCCTTTGCTGAGCTGGAAGAAGGTGAAGATGCCCGGCAGCTGGCCGAATATCGAACTCGGAAACGTGACGAAGCAGAAGAGGACAAAGAATTTCCTGACGAGATTGAGTTACATCCACATGTACTCGCCCGTGAAAGATTGGCTAAATACAGAGGTCTCAAAAGTCTACGTACGAGTCCTTGGAACAAGGAGGAAGACCAGCCTTACCAACCCGAAGAATGGCTCAGATTATTACAAATATCGGACTACCAATCTTCTAGAAACCGAGCTTTTCGCGAGGTTCTAGTTGGCGGTGTCGACCCTGGGACTAGAGTTCATGTTTATCTGAAAGGCGTTCCCGCAGACCTGCAAAAGTCCTATAACTCCTCCCAACCAATTACCCTCTTCAGCCTCCTCAGACACGAGAATAAGAAAACAGTGGTCAACTTCGATATTACCCACAAAGAAGACTACGAGAAGTCAATTAAAGCGAAAGAAGAACTCATTGTTCAGTGCGGCCCTCGCAGATTTATCATTAACCCGCTCTTCTCAGCTAGCGGAAATACGGAGAACGACGTACACAAGTACTCCCGTTTCTTGCACCCAGGAGATTCCGCAGTTGCGACATTCACGGGGCCGATCACTTGGGGTTCAGTCCCAACGTTGTTTTTCAAGCGGGTACACCCAGAGCAGGGCGATAAGGGGCCCACGCTTCCTTTACAGCTAGTTGCGACGGGCACTTCTCGCGCCCCATCGACCTCCCGGGTCATTGCGAAACGCGCCATTCTGACCGGTCATCCTTACCAAATTCACAAGAAGGTAGTCACCATTCGGTACATGTTCTTCAACCGAGAGGATGTGGAATGGTTTAAGGCCCTCCCGCTCTGGACGAGAAGGGGCAGGGGTGGTTATATCAAGGAGACGTTAGGTACCCACGGTTACTTCAAGGCCAACTTCGATGGTACAATCAATCCTCAGGACTCGGTTGGCATCAGTCTGTACAAGCGCGTATGGCCACGGAATGCCACCCCATTCATCGGGCCCTTATTAGAGGAAGGCACTGTCGTTGCACGAAGTGATGTGATGGATGAGGACATGTAATGAGAAACTGCTGGGCTTGGGCGTTGATGGTAGATTAAAAAACACCTGATGAATCATGAATGATCGATCACATGGCGAGACAGCCAACAAGTTTCAAATCTAATTGTTTAAAGAAATTCTTTTTTTTTTTTTCGTATTCATAGCCCCAGGTGACGAAGGATGTGATTGCGGTGATTTATCTCGTAACAATGATTCGGCCCGGACTAAAGGCCGATCTACTACTCTATGACAGGGGGTGTAATATAACCCGGCAGCAGAAAAACCGCCTCCAAACTCCATCGTCGCGCCCGGAGGCTTCGCGATCTCAGCCCAGCGTCTCGAGTCCCTCCGTCGGCTTCGGACCCCCTCGACTCCTGCTAACCCCCTCCGCGCCGCTGGCCTTCCACGCGCTGAGGATGAGAGTGACGATATGGTCAACGGCGACGCCCTTCTTGACCTGCGCGAAGACGGTGGGCCCGCCCTCGCGCATCTTGCGGGCGTCGCGCTCCATGACGGCGAGGTCGGCGCCGACGGCGTCGGCAAGGTCGGTCTTGTTGACGACGAGCAGGTCGCTCTGGGTGATGCCCGGGCCGCCCTTGCGGGGGACCTTGTCGCCGCCGCTGACGTCGATGACGTAGATGATGAAGTCGGCGAGCTCGCGGCTGTAGTTGGCGGCCAGGTTGTCACCGCCGGACTCGATCAGTAGTAGGTCCGGGGCGAACTCGGCGTGCAGGTCCTCGAGCGCGGCCAGGTTCGCGGAGATGTCCTCGCGCACGGCGGCGTGCGGGCAGCCGCCCGTCTCGATGGCGCGGATGCGCGCTGCTGGGAGCGCGTTGTTGCGCGTTAGGAACTCGGCATCCTCGCGCGTGAAGATGTCGTTTGTCACGGCTGCTATGCCGTACTGCGCGCGCAGCGCCAGGCAGAGGGCCAGCATCAGGGCTGTCTTGCCTGAGCCGACGGGGCTGGCGGGGTCGTGGGTGTTAGTCCTGTCGTCATATTGGGTTTTCTCGTAGGGGGGGAGGTGAGTGAGTGAGTGAGTGAATGACGTGAGATGAGTGCAAGTTGTATGAGTGAGAATGGCATGGCATAGCGCCCTATGTACATTTACATTTACACACATATACAAATATGATATATGATCACGATCATGATCATGATCATCACGGATTCAGAATACCCGAAATTCTTCAACTTACCCTCCAATGCCAATGGTAAAGGCCCGCTCGCTCCAGTCCCTCCCCTCGACTATGGGCATCTCCCGGCCCAGGAAGCTGCCTGGTCCGTCGAGGATCTCATGGGAGTGGCCGTGATCAGCCATCGAGACGCCATCGTGAGAGTGAGAGTGGCTCACGCCGTCGTGGGAGTGTAGCATGATGACGTATGTGTATACCTCGGGTGTAAGGGAGGGTGACAGCGCGGTTGATTTATCGTCTGGACATGCGCCAAAGGAAGCGATGTGCTGCACGTAATGCTCGATTTCTCTCGATCTGGGTTGGCGACGGGAAGCTCGTGCTCCTGGCACTGCATGTGGTCGAACCGCCGATGGAATGCGCCGGTATGGACGTTGATGATTTGCCTCAGCTATCCGCAATAAGAAGGCGATGCGGGGCTTTCACGCTATATTCCAAGCAGCTGATCCCCCGCCGGCGTTGATATTCTTCACTAAACGTCGCTTGTGATCGTTGGGGCTGCCACCGCTTATCTGCCTACTCCAGTTAGTCAGGATCTCGACGATATGATTAGCGATACGAAATTGGCTCTTCAACAAGTAAAGCAAGTCTCGATTGGTCTAGTGGCAAGGATACCTGCTTGTCAATCGTTCGGATTCAAAGCATCTGATTCGATGAACAAGCCGCAGGTGGCCGGGGTTCGATTCCCCGATCGAGAGTAAGCTATATCTTTTTCGATTCCCTTCTTTTTTTTTTTTAATTTGTCCCTTCAGACGTTTTTCGTCTTTACGTGTTTTGCTTTTCTTTTTCCCGTTGTCCATTCCAACCCAGTTTTCAACGTCAATTGATACAGACGAGTTTCTCGAAGCGAGACTGGGACTACTCTCCTCGGCTAAGCAGCATCGGACCGCCACTACATGGCATACCTGCTTGTAAGCCTTACCGCCCTTTATCGAGCCCAACACCGATGGCGCCGGCACGAATCGTCGCCGGTGAGTAAATTTTTTTTTCTTTGCCATCAAGCCCGTCGGGATCGGCAATAATCTGCCGGAGTGGTACAACGGTGGATTTACGAAAGCGGCCCTCAAAAGTTGCCAGCACGTCGATTTGTCGCGGTTGCGATCTGGGCCCACGGTTGTTTGCATCGCTTCCGTCTAGAACACGTCGGTACATTAGGGGCCCATGGCTTGGCTGGGGCATATTACATCCGCAGGTACGTCCGTACACTCCAATTTGCCAATCTGTTTTATGTGGCATCGCGTTTGGCCCTCTTCTCGGGGCAGCTCAATCAATCATCCAGGCTCTTCCTGCGTGGCAAATTGCAGGGGAAGATTGTGATGCTGTGTCTTGCCACCGACGGTTTTGAACTTGCGCCAGGCCCTCCGTGGGGGTCCGATGGCTGAGGGGATACATGTTCTCTGGCTCCAACCGGAAGGCTGCCGCGCGCTATGGGCCACTTCGCTCTGTGAGTATATCTGCTACTCGCTTCGCATTCCGACGATCCCAGAATCTCCCGCCCATTTCGCAGATAGGTATGACTATCCAGCCACTCCCAGACTTTGCAAACCGCGCTTCTGTTCTTTCCCTGCCGTCGCGTGAGGAATGCCCTGGAAGAAAGTGGTCGTTGTCGATTACGTTGCATTCGCAATCTGCGGGCTGCCCTGCCGTATCTCTTGGAAGATCGGGAAACTGCTCATCTATGCGTATGCTCCCGATCGATGTCAAAGCGCGCCAGGTCTTGCACATTGTGAATCTCGGACTCTGTCTGCTTGACTTTGCAGACCACAATCATTGTACGATGCGTGTACCTTACCCATTAGTAGCATGGTAGACTCGCTACGCAACTGTACACTCCTCGGAAAGGGGATTGGATGTACGATTGCACACACACATACGAGAGTCTTTCTGGATCCCCATATCTTGGGTGTTCATAGATAGTGTACTCACCACTACTACCTATTACCCGTCATTTACCTATGGCGATACAATATCAGCATACGCATGTAGGTCTCTCCCTGGAAGCTGCCAGAGCCTAGACCAGAGGTCGAGGGTGTGTGGTATGCCTATACTGCCCAGCATTGCATTAGCCAAAGCCAAGATCCCCGGGACGAAGACATCATTGGCGGTGATACCAGCTTTACATGCAACTGCTACTACCTACCCATGTGCGTCAGTCTAGGAGAAGTGAGTTACGTGAATGGGGTACATCGCCCGTCTGCCTCTGCACGCTGGCAGGTCGTGAAGAGGGCAGGGATGATCCCGTCGGGTCGCGGCATGAAGAGATGTCAGGACCAGGAGCTTGACAGACTGACGGCGAGGCAATCGGTTCAGGGACGGATGATTCCTCTGTGTGTACGCCAGGCGCGAACAGCTAAGTTGGGGGGCACGACATGACGAGATGGAGTGCAGGAGAGAAGCCGCTCTTCTATGGTATCTAGTAGATACCTAGGTAGGTATACAAACCATTTGAAGGAGGCGGTGGTAAGAGTAGAAATAGGCATGGAATGGCCACAGAAAGGTGAGTACGAGCACGCTTGTAGAGCATACCTACTGAGTAAAGTTGCTTCGCACATAGCAAATGTAAGAGAAGCAGGTTGCCGCCGACTGTCTCTTTTGGTTGCGGGAGTTCCGGTTAGATTAGGCGCTGCAGTTACCGTCGAACATGCGGATTTCTTCAGGCACCGTTGAACATGTAGCTGTATAGAATATCGTACTTGTAAGAGCCAGCTGCGTATCGCATAGCATCTGAGACCTGATGTCTGGTGCTTAAACGAGGCACGACACCGTCGACGGTCCAGCTGGAGATAGGTAAGAAGTACATCTGGGAATACCTATTGTACGAAGTAACTCTGTATATTTGGGCGTTGCGTCGATCATCTCTCGGCCCGTCTCGGCCTGCTAACTGCCTGCCTAGCTAAATCCTTTGACGGCTGGCTGCGCAGACGTTCACATACCCCGGGTAGCAGATCAGCGACGGTTCGCGGCCAGGGCATGCCTATACATAGTATTTTAGTACTGATGAGTATGTACTTCGTATATGCTATGTCGGCGAACTCGAACTGCGCCAAATGGGGTTCAAGAGACCCTCATCGAGATTTGTTTTGCTGTTCCAATTCGTAGGAACGTAGCTCGGGTAGATGGCCATCGGGAGAGGAGAATTGTTCGCAGGTCAAAACGAGTCGATAGGTTCGATAGTTTCCCGCCTGAGTTGGCCTGCGCTTCAGCACAGTATCCGTACCACCTGCCATATGGAGTGTAGTACAGTGCACCTCCGGGTTCTATGGCACTGTGTAAATCTGTGGCCAGCATACCTACATCGACTCCACCGCAGTTATACCTACCGTGGACACCGGGTGCACAGTCAAAGAACACTGTGTAATTTAATTATCCCCCGTACATAGTGCGCTGGGGCACTGGGGTTAGCCGTGTCTGGCCGGGCTTCAGCGCTCCGTACGGAAACATCAGGTGGGGGCAGGATTGAAAAGCGCACTAAAGAGCCCTGATGGCCACGCTAGCTACAGTGGATCATGGGTGCTCTCTCCAGGTGGGGCCCCAGAACATCCCCTGTCCCAACTCCCGACGCAGATACGATTTTTTCTGGCTTAGATCTACACTCCTACCTTCGCTATCTGGTGGTGAATGGCCGCCCGCCTTGGCCAGATGGGCAGCAAGGGTACAGACATGTACCGGTACGCTCCGCTGCTCCTGTTCTTCATGGGATCTCGCTCGTCTTCACAGATCTTCGCTCGTAGATGTACCCTCCCGATACTCCATGCTGCGGCGTGCCCGTGCCAACAAGACCCTGTGAGTGAAGTCCGGCGCGAGAGACGGGAGCCAATGGCCCGCTGAGCAGCGACTCTCTCGTCACGTCAAGTGATCTCCGTCCCTCTCCTCCGGTCAGATGAATGGAGTGTCTCAAAAAAAGCATCGCATGTGGCTAGAGCAGGGTATTATGCGGGCTATGATTGTGACTGGGTAGGTCCTCGGTTTGTTTTGTTTCGTTTCGGCCTGTTTCCCTCTCTTCTGAGACCCCCTGCTCGATGCGAGCGTTACTGTGCGTCGGTATGTTATGAAGGATTTCAGGCATGCATGGTCTTAATAAGAGAGCCTCGTTCGTGAGACTTGTGTGCGTGAATAAGGTTGTCATCAACCCTACGCTCAACTCGCTCGCCCTGCACTCATCTCACATTCTTAAGCCATAGTCTCCCTCTCGAGCCCCCTCTCTTTCTCTCTTACGCTGACTGACTGGACCTGGTCTGTGAACAATCTATCCTGCTCGGTCGGGCCGTTTTCTTCTGTTTACCTACTTCTCATTAATACGGGGTATGTGTATAGGTACAAGTGTATATGTCCTAATCTTGTCCCTGGAGATATAAGTCGATGCCATCCTTGTTCCCGACGGCTTCTCCTGAACCTAACATCTTTCCACTCTTCGTGTCTCGCCCGCCCGTCTGCAGGAAAACCTGAATGTCTCAGCAAGACGTCTCATCGGGTCTGATTAGAGGACGTGCACGCTGAAAGCTTCTGCTTCGCTCGGCTCCGCTTCACTTTGTGCGTGGCAGTGAAAAAGGAGCATAGGGCCGGCCGTCGATGCTACATGGGATCGTACATACACTACTCCAACTCCCTGCTAGGTATATATCAACAAAAGACGGAGGAAATACCGCATCATCCATACAACCCCTACCGCCCGAGATCGGGGCCCGACTTATATAGTTCGCGTGTTCGCCCGCCATCTCCACTGTCGCCATCGATATCACCATCGATCGCCAGTACTCTTCTTCACCGTAACTTCGCTTCTTAGGTCTTCCAGTCTTGATCACACCCTCATCAGCCCTGAGACCTCAATGCCTGCTTGCGGGCAACTCGTCATGGCATACCCCAACGAATTGGCAGGGACGTTTCCGGCGCCTATGAAGTGGCAAGCACAAGGACCTCGAACCGAAATGGCAAGACAACAGTGCAGAAGACAGTCCCAGCGGCCGCCATCAAAGTCGCAACCATTCGACCCGGACGATTTATGCCGGAGGTTGCACGTGGTCATCGCCGAGCGAGAGGCGCAGAACAAAAGACGACAGCGAGGGCACGCCATAAGGGAGCACCATCCCTATCTCGAGGGCTTTGCAACGACGACAACAACGAGAACAACGTGGGCATTATCGGAAACGACAGCGCATGCCGAGCGGCCGTCCAAGCCAAAGTCAAAACCCTCCCTCCAAGAGAGGTTACGCCACAAGGCCTTTTCAGTAACGTCGTCCGCACCAACCGCTGACACGAACGGGGGCGCAGCCTACCGGCACGTGCCAGACCAAGCAGCGGCGCAATTCAGCCGCACAACGACGGCAACCAGCGTACAGAACGACTCGGAGGTCCACGGTCTCTCCGTGTCCGCGCTCCGCTTTTATTCAGAAGGGGTTTCGTCCACACACCACGAGGCGATCGAGACGAGCATTACACCCGGAAAGCAGCGAAATCTCCTACAGCGGGCCCGCAGCCAGAGAGAACGCCAGCGCGGGCGGAACCAGTTTCAGGACCCGAGCGCCGACGGGGACGGCGGCGTGTCGCGGCGGCGGTCGATTCGATCAGGGCCGGGCGCCAACAGTGAGATGACGATAGTGGAGGATCTGGGCGTCTCTGCGCTTGCGGACCTGCATCTGCACGCGTACACGAATCAGGGCCGACGCGCCGGGGATGACGGTGAGATGCTCTCATCAGAAGA